TTTATATGAGACATTTGATCATTTATTTAATCAAAAATTTAATATTTCTAACATTAGCCATATGATAATGCATGGATATATATATATTTTTTTTGGAACTCTAATGCATGGGAATATGGTCTACGAGTTGAACACGTGTAGAACGGATTAGCACTACTCCTCTGCTCCCCTTCACTATAAATAGGATGAGGCAGCTAGCTATGTAAAACTCGAGAAAGATCTTTGTTGAATTCACAAGTTCCATAGAAATCATTTTCTTCCTCCAATTTTCTCTGTTTCCAAACAACAACTACAAAAAAAAAATGCCTTGCCTCGAAGGAAGCTGTGCTTGTGCCTGTGGAGCCTGTGGCTCTGGCTGCAAGTGTGGGACCGGCTGTGGGTGCTCAGATTGCAAGTGTTGCAAATGAAGAAGACATCAATATGTGTCATGCAAAGTCATGACACAATTATAATATTTATATAATACTTGAAATAAAATGGGCATGATGGGCTTCTGCTAATCCATTGCTTAGCTTGGATTGTAGATGCTGCTATTTGTGTCTTTTTGTTAGTCATGTTTCTTGTATGGGTGTTGGAGTTTGGTGGTGTGTATCTTTACAGAGGTTGCAATCTTATTGCAAATTTGCATTGTAATGGGAATAATAATATAGCTCCTTCACTTGTTTTTTAATACTTCTATCATCCTTTAAATAATTTTGCCACTGTGGTTAGATTATGAATTTATACAGGGAATTAGAAAAAATATTTGAAAAAAATAAAGAAAATGGATGTGGGTGAATGATGAAATTTTTTTAAAAAAATAAATAAATTAAAAACACATCTATTTTTCAAAATTTTTGTTTTTTTTTTTTTTTTTGAGGACTCTATTTTTCAATTAACACAATAACAAGTTCATTGTGATGGAAGAAATTAAAAAACTCAACATAAGAAAGAACTCTTATAACTGAAGAGAAATAATCAATTTTTGTATTAGATAAAAATTGACTCCCTTACCTCTAATTAAGAACGTAAAAAAAGAGTCAATTAAACCGTACTTGTTACTAATATTTTAATTATTTTTTTTTGAAAAAATTATTTTATCGCATTCACACTCTCCCTATATATGAATGAAAACTCTAATTTTTTTTTATAGGTTCACAAATGCAAGATCCACTTACCCACCTCAACAAATTTGGATCCTCAAACGAAATTGTATAATGTTGCTTTCAAGAAAATGAAAACAAAAATGGGTTCTATAGAACCTAAGCAAATGTCAAATGAAATTTAAAAGATAGTTAGGATTTAACACAAAATATAACTTTTCTCCAATCCTTTAAGGGTTCGTTTGGGAATAATTTATTTAGCTTGATTTTTTAACTGTTTAACTATTTTAGCATGATTAAAGAAGTTCCATTTATGATGAACTTTTGACTTTTTTTGTAGTTTTGTGAAAAAAAAAGTATTATGATTACAGTTTAGATGCGGTATTTTGTCTTATTGATTTTTTAATTTATTTTATCTTTAAATAGACTATTAGTCCCAACCATTTTGCTAAATGAAGGCCAAGATAATTGGATGGTCTAGTCTGAACTCCTGGGTTCATCATTGCTCTCATTTGAATAATTTAATTCATAACTTTTTTAGACTTTCATGTGTTGTTCATTTAGGCTTCGACTAAAAAAATTGTTTATTGGCTTCCAAATTTAGGGATTTCTTTTTTTTTTTTTTTTTTTTTAGTGGCAGAAGTGAGGGTTTTTTTTTTTTTTGCCAGAAATCAGTACATCGAAGGAGTTAAGATTTTTTTAATAAATTGAGATTTTTTTGGTCAATAGACATTTTAGCATATGCAAAAAGAAACTTTAAACACCATTAATATTATTAAAGTTATAAACTCGCTTATTAGGTTTAAAATGACCCAACCCAAGCTTCCTACATTAAGCCCATGACCTGGGTGGCCCAGTTGACTTGCTAACAAATATTGGATTTAAGGAAGTAATATATATGTTGAAGAATCAAATGACATGAATTCTCATTTTTATATTTGAAAAAAAAACAACATGAATTTTGATTAAAACTTGCAGTACTAGTGTGTAATGTGTGTCATATTTATACACAATTAGAATATCATAACAAAAAATAAAAATAAAATAAAATAAAAATGAAATTTATTGTGCCTGAGAGGTTGGAAATTAAAAAAAAATAAATACTATCATCTCATAATTTTACATAAAAATTATGTTCATGTAACCATTTTTCTTCCCAAAAGAGAAAAGAAAAGATGTTTGTTGAAACTAGTATGTGTTTTTAACTTAAAGGTATGGCAATGCAAGGGAGGCATCACGAGCAGTTAGGGATCATAAAAAAAAAAAAAAAATTATGAAATAGTTCATGAAAATTTTATGTACTCTTGGATTACATATACAATAAAATATCAAACACAAATTAAAGGATAAAAAAAATTTATGAAACATTTCATAATATTTTTTTTTATAATCTCTAATATTACTCTTTCGCAAAAGGTGAAAGTTCTCAAATCAAAAACTTTTTGGTTTTAGGCATGTGATGTACCTTTTATACCCTTCATTAGGATTATTAGTTTTGAGATTATCAATTTTTTTAGAGTGTATATTCTATTTCATATTTGAATTAATTCAAGATTAAGAAAAAAAAATTAACAAAATGTTATCAATATTGTATTTAGCCAATTGGTTTGCATTTTTTTTAATCTCTCATTTTGCATCTTATGACCTCCTTTTGCGATTCAGTACATGTTCAGATCTAAACCCTAATTCTTAGGGCTGGTTCGGCAACCCTTCAAAAAGTTAAAAAGTTAAAAAGTTATCACTATTTATAAAAAAAATTTTAAAAAAATAATATACACATATTAATACAAATAAAAAAAAAAGCCCCAACATTGGTACTGACGTGATGGTGGAGTCGGTGACCGGGGAAAAAAAAAATTATAGTAAAATATTCACTAAATTGGATGATAGAGCTGGGCCCGTGGGGGCCACCATCGGTCCCATTTTGATAATCTAAACCGTTAATATGTAGAACTTGTCTAGTACTATATGCCTGTAAAAAATCACATCTATTGGATATCACTAAATACATGATCAAATCAGTTTTGTATAAAAAATAATGGTGTTATAGTTAACAGTTAACAAAAAAAAACTAACACGACCAAACAGCTATCGATATCCAATCAACGTGATTTTTTACAAGTATATAGTACTCGATGAGTTCTACACATTGAATGGTTTCGATTAGTAAAACGGGACCCATGGTGGGCCCCCATGGACTGAACAGAACCGACTAATTTATGCCCGAAAAGTAGAGAATCAATCTCCTACACTGCCCTCTGCCACGCTGCCCTTTAGTCTTCCAACCGTACGACCTATTCCATCACTTTATTCCCCTATACACTTATTTATACAATTTTTTAATACACATTTTTCTATAAAAAGTCAAAAAGTTAACCCAAACATCCATATTTTTTTCCTCAATTTTTTAGTCTAAAAAGACAAAAAGTACATTTATTTAAGACACCCCTAATAGACCATAATGACAAAAAAGTGATTTATGTAACTAACCTAGAACACAAGAATTAATTTGATTTGGTTTGGTTATTAATTTAATTACAAAGCCATGTCCCCCCCAAACTTTATACAGCATCTTCAAAGCCATCTCATAACTTGTGCTCTATAATTACCTAATAGTTACTAAATAAATAAAAAATAAAATGGTAAATTATATAAATAGTCTCTGTAGTTTATACAATGTGTCAATTTGATCCATATTATTTTAATTTGCTCGATTTTGCCTCTTAATTTAACGGATTGTGTCATTTTAATTCAATAAATAGCAGTTGTTAAGTTTGGTGAATGGAAAATCAAATTATGTGTCAATTTAGTCCCTGTAGTTTACACAATGTGTCAATTTGGTCCGTGTCAAAAATGAGCAAATTAAAATAGCATGGGCCAAATTGACACATCGTGTAAACTAGAAGGACTATTTGCATAATTTACCCCCCTCAAAAAAAAAAAGAAAAAAAAAAAAGAAAAAGCAGTATTCATACTAGAGAATTTCAGAGTTTAGCGATGACTTGGATCCAATAGCTCCAAAAAGTTGTGCCAAACAAATGAAATGTCTTATATGTATGGACCATGGAGGAGCTATCATCTGTGCAGCCGTCCAGGAATTGACAATTTCAAACACCTTTTTTTGGCGGGATCATATCATAGATATAAACAGTCAAATGTTTGGCACAGATGAAAATGCCAAATTGGCAATCATGTCTACACTTATCAATCACTGAATGTGACTTCCATCCCAATATATATATTAACGATAGGTGAATACAATGCGTTTACAATTTTATAATTAAAATTTTAGATGGTTTAATGATTGACGGATACTTTGATAAATGAAAAAAACATTTGATAGTTATGAATAGTTTAATTAATAAGGAAATTATTCAGCAATTATTGGATGTGACATATACTAAAATGTGATTTCATTTCTTTTCCTATCTTCTTTTTATTTAAAAAATGTTTTGGAACTCTAATAAAGAAGTTCTAATGGAATGTGGATCCCACTGTGATAGTGATGTTGGTGTCTTGTGATTTTTTTTTTTTTTTTTGACTTCCATGTCATTAGAGCTCATTAAAGCTCATTGATTTAGAAGGATGTATCATTGTTGTTTTTATTTTTATTTTGAGTTTTGAGTAAGCTTTAGATCTTTATAAAGCTAAAAATACACAAAGTCACAAAGACATAGAGCCTATGTAATCTCTTGTTTTCTCTGTTAGCAAGTATACATAATAAAATTACCACCATCCAATTAATTAGTCTATGCTGACAATGATTGAGAGGTACGTATAGATTTTCTTGTCAGCTCTTGCTTGAGGAAAATATGCTGATATGCCCTTTGTGCGGCTACAATATAATAACCAACCAAAGCCTCAAGTCCTCTGTGATTCTGACACGCGTATGGTGGATCAGCTCCTCTCCTCCCCTCACCTGCATTATAAATAGCAGTCAGTGCCTCCCAACCTTTGAAGCAAAACAATTCAATTTCCTCTGAAATAACTTTCCATTGTTCTCTGTTCTCACTCCCAAAAAAAAAAAAATGTCTGGCTGTGGAGGAAATTGTGACTGTGGCTCTGACTGCAAGTGCGACAAGTATATGTTTTTCTCTCACCCAACCTTCGCACTTCAATTTTCTTGCCATTTTTTTGTTTCCCTATAAAATAGTTTCCTCTCCTTGTTAAAAAAAAGGTTCAACATGTACATAAAAATTAGAAAGTGCTTATGTATTATTTATTAATTTATTTTGTGTGTAAATTTATCGGCAGATGTGGGATGTACCCTGACATAGAGAACACCACCACAACAACCATCATCGCTGGTGTTGCACCACCAGTGACCATGTACGTATCACCTTCAACATTTCACGCTGTTGAATTCTTTTGTTTTTCTTCGTTTGGTAATAAATAAAAAATAAATTTGATTGTATACCTATACGGATATGGATTGTAAGTTGTGGATTTCTTGTAGGTACTCTGAGGGATCGGAGAAAAGCTTTGGAGCAGAAGGAGGGCATGGTTGCAAGTGCGGATCAAACTGCAAGTGTGACCCTTGTACCTGTTAAAATGAACTAAAATGGATCTCAAGCAAAGCGGCGATATAGCTTGACAAGAATGAAAAATAAGGAGGAATGTCTGTGCTTTTGTGTTTATATGTTGGAAAGAGTCTTGGGGTTATATAAAGTAAAATAAGACAGCCATGGACTTCTGAATAATCCAATTGTGGATTGTGCAGAAGTCTTTTGTGGCTACTTGTCAAGCATATTTGTGTCTGCTTTGTGGGTTATGGAGTTTGATGTATGTCTATGAAAGGGTGGAAACAAACGTGATATGAATATAGCTCCTTCAATTGTTGTGTCATATATATTTACTTCTCTTTTGACAATTTTTTTTTTTTTTAAAAAAAATACTACGCCTCCGTTTGGGAAGTGGGTTGGCTTTTTGACTTTTTAGTTTTTTTAACTATTTTAGCCTGTGCTTAAAAGGTTTGTTTGGGAAGGGCTTTTCGGTTTTTTTGAGTTTTTTTGTGAGAGAAGAATGTAATGATTATGGGTTGGATGTGATGTTTTGTTTGTTATGGCTAAAATAACCTATTTTGTTTTTTGTGACTAAAATAACCAAAAAAGCCTGCAAACCCACTTGCCAAACACATTAAGTCATATGTTACAAAGTTAGTGTAAAAAAATAATATACGATTTTTTCACACTTTCTTGACATATCTGCTTTAATACGAGGCGCTTAAGTGCTTGAGTTTCATCTTTTCTTTTTGTTTTTGTCATTTTATTTTAAATAATTTATTAATGGTAGCTGTATATTGAGTGAAATTTTTTTCGTAGTTATACAAGCATTTTTGGTCAATTATGCAATAGGGTTTTTTGTAATTACACAAACATTCTTAGTCAATTATGAAATAGATTTTTTTGTAATTATGCAAACATTCTTGATCAATTGTGAAGCATAAATATTTTATTTTTTGACAAATTACAAATACACTCATAAAATTTGTTAAAAATATGAATCGATTTTATAATATTAGCAATTACAACTATCGTTTGTTATAAATTTTAATTTAACACTATACTCAAGAAAAAATAAAACTATTCAATAATAAATTATCAAAATTGTTTATTGAAAAATATTTCTCATGTCATAAAAAATTGTTAATTGACTTAATGATTTATTTATTAATAAAATTGATCATTTGTTATGCAAGTATAATTTATGTATTAATAAAATTAGTCAGTTGTATATATATGTATTTTCTTCTGCTTCTTTATTAGTTCAGTCTTAGTAGGTTTTTTTTTTTTAAATAGGAGAATTATCTTAATATTTGTTTTATATTTATCTGTTGAGAAAAGTTACATACCATAATTTTTTTTTTTTTTTTTTATAAATTCGAAAGAAATATTAAAGACTCATAAATTCACCTAAAATGATATGTTAATAGAATTGGAGTGATTGGGTGTATAACAAATCAAAAAATATACATATTGTGTGAGTGATTTTCTGACCAAACTGCCAACTTAGTATTCACTTGGAGAGTACTGGCAGAATAGATGACACCTAGCTGACCTGCAACAAAAAGAGAAGATTCCGGCGGTGGTTCGTTCACCCGGGAGCACTCTGACGATCAAGTCAGTATATCTCTCAAAAATAATCAATTGCTAAAAGCACTATTCTGAGAATAAATTGCGTACCTTAGACCCATCGGGGGTGCCTTTCTTTTATAGTTAACTCAGTCCTAGTTCCCATAGAAGCCTAGCTTCAATGGACTCAGGATTACTGCTAATCTTCGACTTCCAGTAGAATTGGGATAAACTCTCTAAGAGTCTTATTCTTACCCAACTGAAGTCTTCTCTCGTTCTAAGACTCTTGTGTCTTATCTTCTTGTCTCGGATTTCGATATCTTCGGAGATAACCTCGGCCTTGCTGAGATCACCTCGGCGTCATGACCAAGACACGTGGCACCTCGGCTGAAACATCGGCGTCACCTTGGCCACGTGTTGGTACTCAGAAAATACATCCCCACCCATATCATACCACATAATTCTATCATATATCTAATGATTTATTCTATTCAATTTCATGTAACAATATTTTAATTTTAAAAAAAATTATTAAAATACAAAACTTAAACATATTATAATAATAGCCCATATCATGCACAGGCCTGTGTAAACTAGTATATATATATTGGTTTGATCATGCAATGCCTTACAAATTTTTTGCTTTTGAGCTCAAAAAAATAAGGTTGAACTATTAATAGGTCATAATTGTTAGAATTAATTCACAAGTTCTATTGAAAATAAATCCTAGTAAAATCGTCACTAAAAATTATTTTTTGTAACGATTTTTTGCATATGTTGTTAAAAATTGACAATTAGTGCCTTTTTTGTCACAATTTTTGTAAATTGTCGCTAAAAGTTACAATTAGTGACTTTTTGTGATAATTTTTCAAACCGTCGCTGAAAGTTGAAAATTAATGACTTTTTTGTGACGATTTTTTTTAACTGTCGCAAAAACTTATAATTAGTGACATTTTTTGTGAGAAAATTTTGAATCTGTCACTGAAAATTAACAATTAGTGACGTTTTTAAAAGTGTTTAATGAAAAATGTAATTAATTATCATAAGACCAATTAAATAATAGGTTCACCTAATAAAACTTACACGTAAGTTCTCAAGAAATAAAATATTTTTTAGTTTTTTTTTTTTTTTTCATCGCCATGAAAAAACGATATACAATGTAGTTCTCACAGCAAAATACAAGCTCTTAAGAGCAAATCTATTAAAAGCAAAATCCTTTACTATCATGAAGCACTAGATAAATACCAACAAAAACCATAGGTCCTAACAAAGTAGCTCTTACAACACGAGAGGCATAAGGGTGACTGGGGTTCTTTGGAATGTCTTAAATAAATGTATTTTTTGTCTTTTTAGATTAAAAAGTTGAAGAAAAAAATATGAATGTTTGGATTAACTTTTTGACTTTTTATGAAAAGATGTGTATTAAAAAATTATATAAATTAGTGTATAAGAGAAGATGGTGTAGTACACAGTACAGAATTGGCAGTCACCTGGTTTGGTATTACATGGGAAAATATTGCCTCATTTTTGGGCTTTGATTGGACAGTGTTGTTCAGCCTATGGGGCCTACCACAGGTCCTGTTTTTCTAATCGAAATCGTTTAATATGTAGAACTCGTCAAGTACTATATGCTTGTAAAAAATCACTTTGATTGGATATCGATAGCTATTTGATCCTGCTAGTTTTTTTGTCAACTGTTAACTATAACAACATCCAATTTTTATACAAAACTGATTTGATCATGTAGTTAGCGATATCTGATAGACGTGATTTTTTGCTAGCATATAGTACTAGACGAGTTTTACACATTGAACGGTTCAGATTATCAAAACGGGACCCATGGTGAGCCCCCACGGACCCAACTTTACCATTCAAATTGATTGAATGTACCCATGCAATTTTTTTTCCCTTTCCTTTCACTAAAGCTGGCCTGACGTGGCCTGGCGTCACCTACATTGATTGAACAAAAAGTGGATTTGCATTTAATATTTATATATTAATTTTTTTTATATTTTTTTGATAAATAGTGATAACTTTTTAATTTTTTTAATAACTTTTTGATTCTTTAACTTTTTTCCCACTTGCCAAACTTAGATCAAGCCACCTCCTTGAATTTGCTTGAAAGATTTATGTTTGTTTCGTTTGTAATTTTGAGGGATTTTTTTCATTGACCATCTTCAAATTTTGATGTTTTTTTATTCTTTTCATGTGACTTAGGCCTCGTTTGGGAATAAGTTAATTTAATAACTTTTTGGCTGTTAAAGTATGAGCTAAAACAAACTAGTATGTTTGAGATGACTTTTTGACTTTTTACGAAAAGATGTGCAAAAAGTAGAGAGAAAAAAGAATCTTTGACTTTTTGGTATCGGTTGTTAGCTTTTTGGCTAATTTGGCTAAAAAGAACTTTTTGACTTTTTGGCTAAAAAGAAGGGTACCCAAATGAGGCTTTGAAAGAGTCTTTAATTCTGTGTGCGCATTCAAACATATCAAAATAAAAGTCAAGCACATTAAATATGCTTTTGTAAGGGATTATACCACCACACCACCATCTCTCCAGTGTAACCCATTCAAATCAACATCATTTCATAGCGAGGAAATACATTTGATTTCGAATTTGATGAGGTTGATTTGGTTATGTATTGAAAATTATGATGATTTGGATTTGATTGTACAATGTGTTTTGAGAATTAGTATTTGATGTTGGGGTAAGGCTATGAAGACGGAAATTAAGCCACGATAGTAGGGTGAACTAAAAAGATGGGGAAGATGTGATAAAAGGGCGTATTATACTAATAGAATAATGTTGGAAAGTAACAAATTCTTTAATGGTGACAGATTTTGAAGGCATGGTACCTCAAATTCACCATGATTAAATTCATACCTTCGAATAAGATTAATAAAATCCATTTTATTTTAAAACGAAACTCTATAAGAGGCCATTATAAATAATTTTTAAAATCTCAAAAAAATTTGTACTAAAAACCATCCCCAAAGTGGTTATGTTGTAATTTTCTCCTAAGGGCATCTCCAATGGTTTACTAAAAAATTTCACCAAATCTGAGTAACAATATGATCAATTCCTCTATCTGATATCAGTCACTCCAACGGTGAACGACTATAACTTTTATCAAAACACAGGATGTCTGAGCGACGATTGGCCGATCGATCGGCAAGAGCAACAAACTATGGATTTAATTCTACGTTGGTTTAACCTTTTGCAAGACCATGAATACATAGAAGCCATGCCTTTGCCTCTCAAAACATTAAGCCTATCAATCACATCTACAACACTACACAAATTTTCAACACCTGAAAATCAATCACAGATTAAAGTACATAAATATATAAATGTGTGTGTGTTGTACCTTTCAAGTAGATAAGGGTGTAATTTTGGCCTGGCCCGGCCCATGTCGGGCCTTGCGGGCTCCCGCCCAAAAATCGGGCTGGGCCGGGCCACAGGCCAGAAACTAGGCCTAGGGGTATTCGGGCTTTGGGTGGGCCAGTGGGTCAGGTTCATGGGCTTGGGCTTGGGCTTGGGCTTGGGCTTGGGCTCGAGCTTTGGGCGGGCCTAAACAATTTTTTTTAATTTTCCCACCAAAATTTTATTATTTCCATTTTAAAAAATGGGCTTCGGGCCGAGCTTTTGGGCGGGCCTTAAACAGGTCAATAGGTTGGGTCGGGCTTCAAAACGATGGCCTAAGCCCTAGCCCTAGCCCATGGCATTGGGCTGTGCTTAAGCTCGGGTCTTAACGGGCCGGCCCCACATCGGGCCGCGGTGCGGGCTTCGTTCCGCCCGCGGGCCACGTGCCAAAATTACACATCTACAAGTAGAGGCCATCTGGTGAAGAAAGAAGGACTTCGATGAAATGTGGAAGTTCGAGCTGTCGATTTTTGTAGAGATAGTAAACTATAGGGACTTTCCGAATTTGCTGATACTTGGGACACCTCTCAATGCAAACTTTTGCCCTTTCCAGACTCACTTGCTAGAACTTCTTCACACATCCCTCCATTTTCAAATTCGAAGCTCCGGACAAATTGTCTTCAAAATCAAAGTATATTAGATTTGAGAGAAAGCTCGAAAAAATTAGTTCTAGCAAAGATGAATAGTGAGAATTACATAGAACATGTGAAGAATTGCAAAGAGGAGTGATACAAGAAATAAAGTAATGGGTCAAAGGAGTAACCAACTTTGTGGCTCATTTGGGTATAAACCATGGCTTTTTCCACAAAATTTTCAAATAGTCGAATGATCGGAGGGACAATTGGCTAGATGTCTGGCTGATCGTTCGGTGGATTCTACTTCCAATATACGCGCACAGTAAATTGGTGAAAGCTGGATCAGATCCTTAATTTGGTGAAAAATTTAAAGCGTTCTCAATTTGATACAGTTTTGATAAAAATCGTTAGAGACTAAAAAAGTGTCCTTTTTCACTAAGGCCTTATTTGGGAAGTAACATTTTTAGCCTAAAAAGTTAAAAAATTATTAAAAAAATCAAAAATCAAACAACCTATATCAAAAAATTAAAAATTTTCTTTTCTCTCTACTTTTTGTACATATTTTCGTAAAAAATTAAAAAGTCATCCCAAACATACTAATTTTTTTATATCATATTTTAGACAAAAAGTCAAAAGTTACTAAAAAATCTTGTTTCCAAACGAGGCCTAAATTCAAATTTAATTAAACGTTAGAGATGACCTAAGGAGCAAATGTCTAATATATAGGTCCGTTTGAAAGTTTCAATTTATAACCAAATAAATAAATATTAATTATTCTTTTTATTTTTTAAATATCTTTTCGTAAAAAATTAATTAAAAATAATTAATAATCAATTACCAAACGGGCCATGGGCCCATAGGATCAAAACCGATTTCCACTGGCCCTTTTCTGGCGGGCAGGCGGGCGGGCGCGCAGCGATGCCTCATATATATATATATAGATCAAGGGTTTCATTGTCGGCTAGGCACACTACATAAATCACAAAACTCTCTACACCTCGAACCCTAAAAATCAAAGTTGTGTGTTCGTAGTGTGGTTTTGAAGAAGATGAACAACAAGATCATGCAAGTTCAGAATGTCCTCCATTATCGATCAGCTCCAAATCCTCTACAGGTTCTTTTCTCCTGTGTGTCTGTTGCATATATATATATGTGTGTGTGTGTGTGTGTGTGTGTTTGTTATAGTCATTGATTTTAGCCTTTTGCCTTCTTGTCTGATTGAGGACTCTCCCGATAATTTGCTCAATTTGATTTTTTAACTCACTCTCTGTACTGTCATTGCTTTGTTGCTTACCTTTTGGCGCTTATACCTTACTTGTTGCTAGGTTGAACCTGACTAGAAAACGGTTTGAATAAACAACTTTTGTGGTGTTTTATGTGGATCGTTTGTTCATCAACAATATGTTCGCTTGGAATACAGAACCTGCATTGGGGGAAGCTCGAATGTGTTTTCTTGTTTTTAAATTGTTACCTTGGATATGAACTTCTTTAGTGATGCCCAAATAGATTGAAATTGAAATTGAAAAATCATAGATAGAATTGATCAACGACGAATTGATAAACTTCAACGTGACCTATGGTATGATTCGTTGATGGTAAGACTGATTAATTAAACATGCATTTCTTCAGGAATTCATAAACCTTCTGTCTTTGAGTCAGTCTGCCCTACTGTTTTCTGTTTTCCCCAGTGTAATTAATAGTTTTTGAAATAATCATTATCTAGTAAGTTTGGAATAAGGGACCACCAAATCTAATCAACTAGTGCCTCTGATGCATTCTTGAATATATATATATATATACATATTTGATTTCAAATTATTAAATTTAGTTTGAAGTATTGTGTACATGAATTTTGGTCAATGAAGTTGAAATGTTGATATTTGTATGGATAAAAAGTTAAACAACTCCAAAAGTGCCATTTCCTTTTCATATTATCGTGTTTCTTTCCTTATTAGCATTGTTTTTCCAAAAAGAAAATTCGTTTGTTGGTCTATCATCTCGTGGCTTTACCTCCTATGGGTTGCATGATTGGTCTTTTGCAAGTGCGACTTTGTTGTGTGAAGCCAGAATAATGTTCTCCTCAATACCAATGTAGCATTTATGCTGCATTTGGACGTTAAGGGAACAACATTGCTGTTAAGTTTGCCCATGTGCTCCCATGTAATGTGTGTTATATTTATACACAATTAGAATATCATAACAAAAATAAATAAATAAAAATGAAATCTATTGTGTCTCAGAGGTTGGAAATGTGGGTATGTAAAAGAGTTTTGCTATGTATACAAACAATATTTTTATACAAAAAAATTTATACAGAATAATGTGTTTTTTGTGATTTTTAATTTAAAAAATACTATCATCTCATCATTTTACATAAAAATTGTCTATAAAAGTTATGTTTACGCAACCATTTTTCTTTCCAAAACAGAAAAGAAAAGATGTTAGTTGAAACTAGGATACATGTTTGTTAACTTAAAGGTATGGCAATGCAAGGGAGGCATCATGAGCAGACTAGGATCACCTTTTTGCAAAGGTGAAAGTTCTCAAATCAAAAAGCTTTTTGGTTTTAGGCATGTGATGTACCTTTTATACCCTTTATTAGGATTATTAGTTTTGTGATTATCAATTTTTTTAGATTGTATATTCTATTTCAGATTTGGATTAATTCAAGATTATGAATTTTTTTTTTAACAAAATGGTATCAATATTGGCCCTGTTTGGTACAGCTTTTTTTCAGCTTATTTCAGCTTTCAACTTAATTTAAGCTATTTTGATGTGTTTGGTTTAACTTAACAATGCAGCTTATAGCTCTTTGTAAGTCAGAAATCAGCTTGTTCTTTGAGTGGAGCAGGAGAAGCTTAATTTATAAGTCAGAAATCAGCTTATGTTCGTAGTTATAAGCTATAAGCTGTTAAGGCATAAACTATAAGCACTTTCCCACAGCTCTACCAAACAGGGCCATTGTAATTAGCCAATTGGTTTGAATTTTTTTTTAATCTCTCATTTTGCTTCTTTAGCCGACCCCATTTGATGGGACTAAAGGCTTGGCTTGGCTTGGCTTGGTTTGGTTTCTCATTTTGCATCTTATTACCTCCTATTGCGATTCAGTATATGTTCAGATCTAAACCCTAATTTTGTTGGTCAAATTTGATACAACATAATGACAAAAAATGATTTATGTAACTAACCTAGAACACAAGACTTGATTTGATTTAGTTTGGTTATTAATTTATTTACAAAGCCATGTCCCCCCAAACTTTATGAAGCACTTATCTTCAAAGCCATCTCATAACTTGTGCTCTAGAGAATTTCAGAGTTTAGTGATGGATTGGCTCCAATAAGTTGTACCAACTTTTGTTTTTTTAACTGTCTTTACAAATGAAATGTCTTATAAGTATGGACTATGGAGGAGCTATCATCTGTGCCGCCGTCCAGGAATTGAAAATTCCAAACTCCTTTCTTTTGCTGGCATCATATCATAGATATAAACAGCCAAATGTTTGGCACAGATGAAAATGCCAAATTGGCGATCATGTCTACACTAATCAATCACTGAAAGTGACTTCCATCTCAATATATATATATATATATATTAACGATAGGCGTAAATATGACGCGTTTATAATTTTATAATTAAAATTTAAAATGGTTTAGTGATTGAGGAATACTTTGATAAATGAGTAAAACATCTAATAGTTTTGAATGGTTTAATGAATAAGGAAATTATTCAGCAATTATTGGACGTGACATATACTAAAACGCGATTTCATTTCTTTTCCTATCTTTTTTTTATTTTTATTTTTATTTTTTGAGTTTTGAGTAGGCTTTAGATCTTTATAAACCTAAAAATACACAAAGTCACAATGACATTAGAGCCTATGTAATCTCTTGAATTCTATTTTAGCAAGCATACATAATAAAATTACCACCGTCCAATTTCCTATGCTTCTTCAATATTGTTTTCAACTGAGCTAATTAATTGGTCTATACTGACAATGATTGAGAGGTATAGATTTTCTTGTTAGCTCTTGCTTGAGGAAATTATGCTGATATGCACTTTGTGCGGCTATTATATAATAACCAACCAAAGCGTCAAGTCCTCTGTGATTCTGACACGTATATGGTGGATCAGCTCCTCTCCTCCCCTCACCGGCATTATAAATAGCAGTCAGGGCCTCCAACCTTTGAGGCAAAACAATTCAATTTCCTCTGAAATAACTTTCCATTGTTCTCTCTTTCTCGCCCCCTAAAAAAATGTCTGGCTGTGGAGGGAACTGTAACTGCGGCTCTGACTGCAAGTGCGACAGCAGCTCCAAGTATATCTTTTTCTCTCCCCCAACCTCGCACTCCAATTTTCTTGTCATTTTTTTGTTTCCCCTATAAAGTAGTTTCCTCTCGTTAAAAAAAAAGGTTCAACGGCGTGGTCGACCCGTAGGAGGATCGGTGGGAGGAAGAACCGGTGGAGAAGGAGGTGTGGCAATAAGAGGTAGACCTTCAGGGAGAGCAGACTGGACGGGATCAGGAGTGAGCAAGGGCGTCCCGATGAAGGAGGAACCTGTATCAAAATCAGCAGAGAAAAGATCTATGGAAGGATTAGTAAACAGTACAGGAGTGGAAAGTGCGGGTAAGTGAAAGGAGGATAGCGAGGAAAACATTTGGTGCTCCCAAAAAACGACATGACGGGAGATACGAAGGTGTTTAGAGAGAGGATCCCAACAGCGAAAGCCTTTATGTTCAATTCCATACCCAAGAAAGCAACAAAGACGAGAACGAGGTTCAAGCTTGGTGTGTTCATGGGATTGAAGTAGAACAAAGCAGGCAGAGCCAAAAACCCGGAGATTAGCGTAAGGAGGGGGAGTGCCATGCAGACGTTCAAAGGGAGTTTGATTATGGATGACAGGAGAAGGAGCACAGTTGATAGTGTAAACAGCAGTGAGGGCAGCTTCCCCCCAAAAGTTTTCAGGGCAGGAAGAAGAGAGAAGAAGGGCGCGAGTAGTGTCAAGAATATGCCTATGTTTCCGTTCAGCACGGCCATTTTGCTGGGACGTGCCAGCACAAGAACGATGAGGCAGTGTACCATGATGCTGAAGAAAGGAAAGGAAATCTGAATCCCGATATTCCATAGCATTGTCAGAGCGAAAAATTTTGATAACTTTGGAGAATTGGGTGTGAACCATTTGGGCAAATTTATAATAAATGTGTTTAAGTTCAGACCTATGTTTCATGAGAAAAAGTCAAGTAAACCGGGAAAAATCATCAATAAAAATAATAAAATAGCGGGATCCCCCCATAGTAGTAGTAAGGGAGGGTCCCCAAATATCCGAATGTATAAGATCAAAAGGTGCAAAGGAAACAGAAGTACTCTTATTAAATGATAAAGCAGGTTGTTTGGCAAGTTGACAGGGGATACAATCAAAATTATCAGGAATTACATGACCCAACTGTCCACTAGAAACCAAAGACCGTAAGCGATTAACAGAAATATGCCCTAAACGACAATGCCAAAGATGAAAGGGAGATAATGAGGAAGTAGATGTAGGAGCAGCAATCGGAGGAGAGGCAGGAACATGAAGGTGAATGAGTTCATAGAGACGTCCATGCTTACGGCCGATCCCAATAGTCTGCCCTGTCTGAGGGTCCTGTACCAAACAATCAATAGTAGAAAATGTGACAGTTAGACCAAGTTCACATAATTGACCAATGGAAATAAGGTTTAAAGTGAGAGCAGGGATATGATAAACTTGAGGTATAGATAAAGAAGAGGTGGAAACAGTACCAATATGACGGACAGACATAAGGGAACCATCAGCAGTATGAATTGAGGGAAGATGAGGAGAGAAGGAGAAGGAAGAAAAGATAGTAGAACTGGAGGTCATATGATTACAACAGACAAAGTCAAAATACCAAGAAGAGTTACCTTGGGTTACAGACAAAGCAGTAGGAGGAGGTGTACCAGAAGGGGAGAGAAGTTGTTTGAGCATGGCCTTTACATCTGTCGGAGAAAAGCGAGGGGTAGACGGAGCAGGTGACTCAGAGAACCCCGCAAAGGCAGAAGCATCAGTGTGATGAGACTGATGCCCGGAAGCAGCAGCAGTAGTGTGATGAGACTGATTCCCAGAAGCAGCAGTAGCAGTGTGATGAGACTGATTCCCGGAACGATGAAAGCTTCCCTGGGAAGAGCCACTGCGAGAGGAGTGACTATTGGAGGATGATCAGGATGGATTGCGAAAACAATCCTGTTGCAGATGACCAGGACCAAGTTTGTTGCAGTAGCGGCAGGATCTGACGGGGCAATTGACCAGGAGATGGGTTGAAGGAAGGCCCCGATTCTGACAATAGAGGCAAGCAGTGGTCCGTTGGGTAAATGATGGCCGGTACGGAGAAGTGGCAAGAACAGAGTCCACATGATGAGTTTGAAGAGTACCAAGATGCGTCTCCTCTGATAGCAACTCAGAAATTGCTTGTTCAAGAGTGGGCAATGGATGGCGATGAAGTAGAGAGGCACGTACGGGCTCAAACGAGGAAGTAAGAGCCATAAGAAAATGCACCAACCTTTGCTGGTTGCGATAGATAGTAAATAAAACAGCATCTTTGGGGGTATGCCAAGTTGGTTCTGAAAGAGCAAGCTGATCCCAAACAGAGTACATTTGAGAAAGGAAGTCATTAATGGACTGAGTGGATTCTTGGCGCATGCGGTGAAGTTGGTTCTGAAGTTGATATTGGTGGGTAAGACCAGTAGTCTGGTATCGTTCTTTCAAGAAATCCCAGATGTCTTTTGCAGGAGTAGTTACAAAGTCAAGCTGAAAGCGACCAAACTGAAGACTGATAGATGTAACAGAGGTATTACGAAACCAGGTAATGATTTGGTAATTCTTACTGTCACATTCCTCAAGTCGGTCTTCAAATGTAGCAGTAGGAACAGTAGTTTCATTAGTGTCACTGTCTTTCACCGGTTTAGTCACATCCCCGGTGACAATTCGCCAGAGCTTCTTCCCTTTTAGGAAGGAGGACATGGCTTGGGCCCACAGAACATAGTTTGAACCATTCAAAATAACGGAAATAGGATGGGAGGCATCATGACGATCCATAATACTAGTTGAATAGGGTTTAAAGTAATATGATAGACCTGTAGGAGCAAAATTAGGTAAAACAGAGTGTACCAGTGAGTCCGGAAGGTCGAAAATAGCCAGGAAAGGTATGCTGGACAGAGGTGATGTCAGCAAATATGTCAGCGACGCACGTTAGCAGAGTGCAGGAAGGAACACGTTAGTAGGAAGCGGCGGTGCACGGTAGCGGCAGGCGCAGACGCGGCGCACGGAATAGGGTTTAAAGTAATAGGATAGACCTGTAGGAGCAAAATTAGGTAAAACAGAGTGTACCAGTGAGTCCGGAAGGTCGAAAATAGCCAGGAAAGGTATGCTGGACAGAGATGATATCAGCAAATAGGTCAGCGGCGCACGTTAGCAGAGTGCAGGAAGGAACACGTTAGCAGGAAGCGACGGTGCACGGTAGCAGTCAGGCGCAGACGCGGCGCACAGTAGCTGAAACGGCGCACGAAAGGCGCACAGTAGCGGGCGCGTGTGAGAGTGGTGGCGGAAATGGTGACGCGTGTGGGCGCGTGAAAGGTTTTCTGGGGCCGGGCTTGGTGCCGTTGGAATCGTGAGGAAATTCCGAGTGGT